TTTTGATGATAAAGTTGCTAAAAACCATACATGATGAAACAGAATCAGAAACACCTCTGATGTTATTACAAATGTTTAAAATCAATCAGAAGAAGATGATTATTATTTACATCAACCTTGTATGCTTTACTTCTTTCAATGTTGTTTGTGCTCTTAGATTTTGCACCCCAAACATAACACTTTAAGGTCGATGTATTTTTAGAAATTGAGTTGCACAACTTACCATCTACCATGGAAAATTGCAATTTGTGTTCAATTTCATATTCGGTCCCAACTTTTGACGAAATCAATTCATTTATTTCTCTTTCAATTAGTTTCACTTCTTCTAATGCTAGTAAGTGCTAATTGAGGGGTTTCCTTTCGGAACATAAACTTTATGGGTACGCAGTATCTCGTCGAAGATGGTCTAGGATTATGCCAAATATTTTTTTGGTTTTCTTTACCGTCTATATAGAAAACTTTTAACGGCACAAGCGACATGGGAAAGATGTCGGTATCACTAACACCTCCATATGAAAACCTTTATTTGTACATTCTTTGGCCACTACTGCCATCGCAGCCCCACTTAGAAATCATTACGATTTTACCACGGTATTCATTTGGAACTGTTACAAAAATTTTTTTTGTATTAGGAATATCCTTTCACTTAGATGTTTAATGAGGAACTTTGAAGTTTAATTTTTGCCATAATTTCATCCACTTCTATTATCTATATTAATTTGGTGCCAAACTTGAGTTACTCTGAGTAATTGTCTGAGTCTAATTGCGGCGCTACATAGGTACGTTAGCATCACAATACCATTTCGAGGTGGTTTGAATACTTTACCAGTGACAAGATCATATCCGAAAGCTATCTTATGATTCAAGTGAAGCTTGCTACTTGACGTGGTGATACTAAGTCGTTCTCGATCATGTAATTTGAAGATATATGCGCGATGGTTGGCAAATGCTTCTGTTTTTTTGCATAGGTTCTTGGAAAAGCCCATTTTATAGTCAGGCAAAAGAACATATATTGTACCACTTATACGATTTCGAGATAAGGACTATTGAAATAAATGAAAACACAATGCTTGAAAGCTTTTTGGGGAGGTTGTGGTGATGAAAAGTTTCATATCGATGTCTCTTTGAGATGACTATAGTGTTCAAGAAAATGTGAGTTCTTCTATACCAGTTGCGTTGGAATTCCCAAATCGTATGTAACTCTTTATCGAAGTAGCTGGACTGCAGACATGGTGCGAACTTCTCAAGCATTGCTGACACCAAAATCACCATTGCTAAATTGAGAACACTTAACGTTGAGAGTTTCGGTGGTAGGTTAAAGCACATCTAGTTGGTGATTGCAAAGAACGTAACGTTGAACTGCATCGTTTCTAATCTGTTATCTTTAATATAGACCAAAAGTACGGCTATAGGCTGTCTGGTAACCAGAAATATATCGATGCTATAAATCGTCTTTCTTTTCTGAATTCTTCCAGGAAGAATGATGACTAAAACAGAAACACACAATATGGTTCTTGGTTTCTACGTAATCGTACTCCCGATTACAGAAATGTTGTTTCTACGTCAGCATCTTTTAAGTCTCATCTCGTTTTTAATCACAAAAATGAAAGAGAAAGATTATCGAAAGAGAAACAAAAAAATACTGCTGACTGAAGAAATGCATTACCTACGTTCATCGCGAGAACAATTGACGTGTAAAACCATTTTTCTGTCTGCAATGAGAATTTTGCTTGGGAGGTCGCCTGAAACGAATATGGTTAAATTTGTAAATTATATCCAAAAATTCGTGAATGAATTGCTTCGCGTTGATGCGACTTACATTCTCTTTTACAAACTCGCACATCATATCTTGCGCTTCACAGACACATTCCTACACACAACCAAACTGTAAATAGTATCATAAAATTAAATGTAAGATGTATCCACGACAGCATCAATTGAAAAAAATCTCCTAATTAGCCAATCTAAATCATTAATCATCTTAATCCTGTACGAAGCTTTAAAAAGATGTTATAAAAAAATTGTAAGTATCCATTGTTGCAGGTTGTTTCTTTTCTCAATACACATCAGATTAGAATTCACGCTAGGATTTAGCAACGTCCTCAAATATCATCCAAACTGTTTCAAGTAATTGGGGATACGTTACCATCACAAGATGACTAAACACCAGATCAAGTGTATAACTATGAACATTTAAACACAAAATGTTACAACGTTACAAAAGTCGGCTCTACTTCCAAAAATCAACCAAATGATTCAGACTCGGAGTTTCTAAATAATAATAAGAATAAGGAATACATTGTTCAAATATTTTCTGCAGATTTTCTACCTTGTTTAGTCGTTTTTAAATCAACCCCATTTACATATGTTCACTGCTGTTCTTCCTGTCTGCAATATGGATGAAACTGTGCTATATCTCAACCCTCACGAGAAAATGGAACCAATTAGTACAATATTAAAAATCTGGTGGCAGCAAATTCTGCACTAGTTATTATGCATTTCAGAATGTCTCTTAGTTATATCACGATGCTCAACCTAATTGATAAATCAAAAATGATTGGATCAGAAACACTTTGTGACTATTTGGATAACATATTACAATCCTTCTTGAAAGCTTCATAATACCATTAAAGTTTGCAGCAAATCAAATAATACCAAGAGCATAACACATTATTTTCTCCTATTTCTTCTTTTTAGTCGTTCTCTCATTACCGAGATTCTATTGACTTCAGTTTCAGGCCTTATTTACACAGCCGTAAAACGAAGTGTCGGTAAGCTTCGTCACTCTACCTACGTTTTCTGATACTATCAACCTCTTCATGTTATTATCATCTCGTCGTGTAATGTGTTTAAAAATTTTAGGATATCCGCAAGACAAATAGAAGATAATCTATTTTGGTTGTTCAATTCTCTAAGGATCGATTCGATCCTTTTAGCCATTCCTATTACTTTCACTTTAACATGTGTTATCAATATATGATCCTAGCTACATGATTTGATCTACGACTTGGAATCTGTGTAGAGCATCTGTTAGTTGCAGATCATCAGAACAATCGACGATCATAATTTTGGCTTTCTCTGCGTTAATCCTAAGTCCACATTTATTACTCTCAGTCTCAATTCGGTTTAGAAGAAGTTATCAAAGTTGAAAATCCTGGCGAACACCTTTACCAGCAGAATCTTACTCGGGTGTGAAATCAAATAGATGGTACGATAGTTGCAACATTTCGTAGTTGTACCGGTCTTATATATACGAATGCAAGTAGAGGTAGACCAATCCTTGGGCCATTGGCCTTGTTTTCAAATCAAATTTCATAGCTCAGTTAACATTTTAATGCCATGTTGATGCACATTCTTCAAAAGTTCTCCCATTATTTCGTTGCATCCTTTTGTTAAATGTACTATTGCCACCTCTACCCCTACTTGCAATATATCTGGTTCGTGCTCAATCGTTTATGTTAAAAGTCCTCTTTCCTCAGTATCTGTTGATCATTAAACAGTTCAGTGCAGTATTTCTGCCAAACGGCCAAAAGTGCTTCGACACTGCGCTTCATATGTTAATCTGCGTTGTATCTTGGTCGTGTAGTATAAATGGGAAATTTCTTAATGCATAATTAAAATATAATACAGTCGAAGCATTTTAAAGTAAAAGAAATGTTTTTTTAAAAATGGTATTTAGTTAGTTGTTAAACATTATAAAGCGTATCGCCGGTATAAAAAAATAAAATCTGTGTAAAACCTCCCGGTAGCGAAACGGACTTACTATTAGGTATACTACTAAAACGTAGTAAACTCTTTATTAACTCTATTAACCTCCGCCCTCGGACGTTCTTACGCACGACCAACAAACGCGAAGACGACGACGACGGCGAGAGAGCTTTTTCGTTCAGGATAGATGCCGCCTATTAGATACGTGCCGAACCGTGAGTAGATAAAATTTGTCGGAAAAGCGTGGCAACGGACGCCGAGAGCTCGCAGATAGCCGCCAATCGTGAGACTTCTTCTTCAGCTTAGCTACCGGTTCGCCTTAATTAAAAGACGCACCCGGGTTCGGTCACGTACCGGCTACAACTCGTTCCCGATATCGTTTGGATCACTAACTTACCAAGTGATATCTTCATTTATTTCACCCAAACACTTTTATTTCTTCTTTATTTAATTTCTAATTAACGTTATCAAATAATAAGTTTTTAGTAAACCTTTTCATTTAAAAAATATTTCGATAAGTTTCTAAAAACGTCTAAAACGTTTGCTCGTCCTTAAATTCCATACCTAATGATATTGGAAGGTTAAAATATCTAAAAGATAAATAACGCTGATTATGTTCATTAACATAAAGTCGATTTTTGCGTGTATCATGACTAAAATGAAATTTCAGTGTGTATGTATAAGTTTGGCCTTTGATATCGTTAAAGAGGAGCACCCTCGCAGCATGCGAATATCTTTTCTCTTTGCAGGTTCTCTTCCGTAAAGTGAACGGTACTGGTGCAGTTCCCATGGTTCCGTATCAAGTATCTCGGACGTGCTTGCACGTGGTCCGTATCTTTAGTCGGCTATCTTTGGCCTTTGAGAGGAAAGGACTACCAGGTTCCTACTGCTGTCCGAAATGACCGAAACGTGGTCAGTCCCGACCTTATGTATGTGGGTTGTGGTAGCGGAACTTCTCTCGAGTTTGTTTCACTTCGTTGTACAGCTTCTTCTACGTCTTCTTTCTCGCAATTTTTCTTTCAGCTTTTCCTTGTTACTGTTGAAGATAGCTATCAGTTTAAAATAAGTTAGAATCGAAATTGTTTCATTTTCTTTTTAATTAAGGTTGTTGTTGCAAAACTGTAAAAGATAAAAATTAACGACAAGTGGTAAAAAGTAACTATAAAAAATGGAATGCTACTGTAATAATTAAACACTTATAACTCAAAAAAGATCGTTTCGAAAAAACTAAGTCACAAGGTAACTTCTTGTTACAAAGTCGAACTGAAGGATATTTGAAATTGTTGGGATTTACTTTTTTATTGCCACCTGTATATAACGCATTGCGATAAGATGTCAGTTAGTTTTGCAAGGAAATTTTACGCAAAATGAGGTTAACCTTAACATTGGCCGTAATCATTGTTTGCTTCGGCATTAGTTTGGCTGTAGAGGGTAATGAAATCATAAATAATGAATTAAAATTAAAGTTTAATCCGCTATATTTCAGCCCCATCTCATAATAAGAAACACCACAATAAAAAACATCTTAAAAAGCATGGTGCAAACGGTAAGTTTATGTAAAAATTATTACAATAACTACATGGAACATAATTAACATTTTCAAGCCAAAAGAGAAATGATAAATGAGGAATGGGAAGATTATAATGGAATTTCCCAACCAGATGATGTAAACCCGGATGTAGACGCACGTATTAATTAACTTGATTAATTTAAGATTGTTCCAAAATAAATAATTAAATAATTTTCAGCTGAAAGTTCATGTAAATGTTACTGTGATGATATCAATGATCCCCAACAAGGTATTGCAAATTTAGAATCAATGTTAAACTAAAAATTTAAATGTCACACTTATTGATGTAGCAAAGAGACATAAGAAACACAAGAAACACGTTGCAAAACGTGATGCTGTCGAATCAATTCTTGATCCATCTGATCCAAATACGGACTGTTCAGAAGAATGCCATTTAAAATGTGAATCGCCGGAACCATCTGCTGAGCAAGAAGGAGTGGAAGACGCACAGAAAAAGAAAAAACATTCAGGATTGAAACGACATAATAAACATCATTAAAATTTTGAAGATATGTTTGAAAAATGAAACCTAATTAGTGTTGTTGTTGATGTTTGTATTTGGAATTTAAATGGATTAATTTCAAATGTTAATTATTGTTTTTGTGTTTATGATTATTTTGCAAAAATAAAATTTATTTAAACAAAATTGCAAAACATTTTTACTACCCATAATGCACAATGTACAGTGCATTATCTATATGTATACAGATAGATTGATTGAAGAATGCAACTCGTTCAGAATTATAAATATTGAGATAGTAAATTTAGGAGAATCAAGAAAAATCATGATATAAAATTACTTTCATTTTAATTGCAGAACTTGCATGATTACAAAAACAAATATAGTTTTCAAAATGTGATACCAATACCACAAGCAAAGTAAAATTAAAAAAAAACATCACCTTGCAAAAGAAGCAAGAAGAAGCAAGGCCGAAATCTTGCTAAAAGCTCAGAAAAAAATTAATATCATCCATTTCCATTAATATCAGCCTTCCGGCTTTAAATGTTTCAACACTCCATACTCACTCTTTGCTCCTGATGAATGTTTTGTATCGGTATCATCATGCTGCATGTTTCATCCCAATGAAAAATATCTAAGGTATTCAAGTCCCACAAAGAAAGTGGCCAAACAAAAAAATGGATTTTGTCAAACTTCCAATTGCCTTTGTCCCCAAGTTTTGTAACCAATCATCAAGAATGTCCGTCCAAGCATTTAATCGAAAACGAGACGTAACGTCGATTAGAGTACGGTGCACCATTAATCGACAGGTTAAGGAAATAACGATGGCATCAGTTTACCTCCCGTATGAAGGCCAGCCTCCATCTCAAGGGTTGGAAAGGCTGGCAGAAGGACGCAAGGAGAGGTAACTGGAATCTTGTCATCGGATGTGATAATTCCTTTTCTTTAATTTTGTCTTTAGGTTAACTTTATTCGAAACAGTCCTTTTGCAAGACATAAGAGCAGCCATGTTGTTGAAACCATATTTCTTCGTAGATATTAAGCCTCTCAATCTTCTAACAAAGTTGATAAATTATTTTGGAGGAAATACAAATAGTATACGAAAGTATAAATTTTTTAAATAACGGGTTTTTTTAAGGAAGACCAGCGATAATATATTTAATGAAAAGAAAAATGGCAAGCGTTACACCAGTGTCCCATTTTCTGACAAATATTCTTCTCTAATAAGTTTGATGTCCAACCGCATTCGTTCTTCTGCCCATTGACAAAATATTAATAGATTTTCAAAATCACCTTCATAAAGCTGATGATGCAATGAAATGTGGTATGGGTGATACTTGTTGCGCTTTAATATTCTTAAAATGCTGGTCTTCGATATTCCGGCGTCAATTACAAGTCGTCGAGTGCTAACTTGAGGATTTACCTCAACGCTAGCTAAATCGCAATTTCCTTTTCTTCCGTAGTTACAGTTGCTCGAAGAGTTCTTTTTCTTGATTCCACATTTCCAGTGTTAGTGAAATCATTCACAACTCTGTAAAAGGTACTTCTCGAAGGCGTATTTCGACCAGGAAAACGTTCTCGATACAAAGCTATACTATCAGCAACTTTTCTGCCACTTTCTCCATAAATAAAAATCATTTCTACTTTTTCTGCCACACTTAGAGTATCCATGATTTAATGACTTAGTTTAAACACTTTGCCTTACTGTAAAACGATGGAATTCTGAATGAATTCAGAATTTGTTGCCAAGCAGTTTTTATGCAAATTTAGTTTTACCTGTTACATTTTAAAACAATTTAACCAATTAAGTCTCTGAAAGCGATATTCTGAAAATGCCGACATAAGCAGTTCGTGGACTCCTGTTTTATTATTTTGGTTTATGCGTTATTCTATTATCAAATTGACAAAGGCGAAGAAATGTCGGAACCTTTTAGACCTCTTTCCAAAGGTATTTCTGATGAGCCAGGTCACCCGATGTACCTCTTCTGGATTTTTTTGTTGAGCATTCTTAAATAGTATTCTAAGAATTAAGAACTAAAGACAATGTATCGAAGCGAGTAGGAAAATGTTTAAAAATTCATAAATCTTATTTGTTCTTGCTAGAGTATAAACGTTAGTTAATTGATTCTGAAGAAGTTTCAGAAAAGGTTCAAATTTTACAATAAAATATATAGGGTGCCATTTAACAGATTGGTCGTGATCTTCATATAACCTTGAAAATCAAGGTTAAAAAATGTTATCGTCATATGGTTTACCCCTTCACACAGAGTAACTTTCATATGGTTCATTTTTATGTAAAATGAACCGTTTTCGAGATAATCACTTGTCTCACGTTAAATGGACCACCCTGTATCTATCATTTATGATAAAAAAAGTTAGATGGAAAAAAAGCGACACGAACCCACGTGTTAGGTGTAATAGGCCCAAAGCCCTTCTCATAACTAAACGACAAAATATAAAATTAAAAATAAAAGAGAAAAACATGTATTTAGTAAATATAAAAGTGGTACCCAAAAAATAAATCAATTAAAAAAGATATTTGTAAAGATACAATAAAAAATGATTTTGGCAGGTCTCACAGACAACAGTCAACATGAAATTCTGTATAATATTGTTCCTTGTTCTTTCTATTCTCGGCTTCACAACAGCATGTATTTACATGAGTAAGCAAAGTTTGATTAATGAAGTAAAACTAACATAAAATTTGTTATTAACAGAGAACGGCCCAGAGAAATCGTTGGATACGGGAACAAAAGGTTTATAAATTTATTAAATGATATTTATTATATAACAATGTTTATATGCTCTTATTTGTTAGGAGTTGACCCATGTACGTGCTGCTGAAGGTGAAAACCAACAAGCTGTTGAAGATGCATTAGGTATCGTTTAGTTATAATTTTTTAATCGTTTAATTTAAAAATCAAAATTTGACAAAACAATCCAGGAAAAATTAGAGACACAGGACAAGGCCCACGGTAAACGCCCCAGTGGCAGAGCACCTTCTAGACAGCTAGACTAAATTAAGAGCATCACCGAGACGCCTCTACAATCAACATTGAGAGAAGGTGAAGATTGTTTCAGGTGGAAACAAATAACAACTCAGTGGACTTAAACACCATAGAATCAATTAGTCAGAAATGAGGAGATCGACTTAGAGAAAGAACCACTCACCACAGGGCAGAAGAACTTTACTGCCTAATATAACCTCGTTGTCATGGATAGTAGCTTTATCAAAATTATTATCAATATCTATGAAATTTTCCAAGGCGGTGAATTATTAATAATTATTATTTAATTATGCATATAGTACATTAAGAAACATTTTATACAATATACCAATATATTTATGTGAACAAGACAATTGTCAAAAAAGAATGTTGGTGTGATTTTATGCTATTAATAAATATTGTTGATTGCGTCTATACTACTAATTTTTTATTTAACCAAAAATAATCTTTTCAACACAAACAAAATAATTAATATATTATTTTACATAATAATAACAAACATCCAATTTCAAGTCGAAATGAAGCATATTCATTACAATTTCGTGTTCATTATCGTTAAATGTAAAATGAAACATTTTGTTTTGTTTCCACAGGTTGTTGAAAAACATTATGGATAATAATAATATTCCTTCTTGGTATTTCAATTACTTAACCCACAATCTATTATTTAAAACGATTAAAATACACCAATAAACTAATTTATTCCTTAAAAACAACATAATTAACTGCAATTAATTAGGACCAGTTAAAGTTTTTCACATACCTTCGATTTTAAATTACCTTTTAGATTAGTATAAAAGCTTTACTCAACATCTGGTTAATCATATTAACTATTAATTTAGTTTCAATAACAGTCAATATGAAGTTCAGTATAATATTCTTCCTTGTTCTTTCTATTCTCGGCTTCACAACAGCATGTATTTCCATGGGTAAGCAAAGTTTGATTAATGAAATAAAACTGACATAAAATTTTTTATTAACAGAGAACAGCCCAGAAAAATCTTTGGATGCGGGAACAAAAGGTTTGTAAATTTATAAAATGATACTTATTATATAACAATTTTTTTATGTTTGTACTATGCCCTTATTTGTTAGGAGTAGAGCAGAGACATCGCCATGTACGTGCTGCTGAAGGTGAAAATGAAGAAGCTGTTGAAGATGCTCCATTAGGTATCGTTTAGTTATAATTTTGTAATCGTTTAATTTAAAAATCAAAATTTAAGTAATGCTTTATTTTCAAACTATGAATGCCATTTTTTATATCAAATTATTACATTTATATTATTTTTTCCACAACCAGAAGAGGCTCCTCCTTCTGAAAAAAAAAGAAAATCAAAATTAAAAAGAAAAAACGCAAACAAGAACGCCAAATATGGACAGTAAATCTTCAATCGATTTATTATGACCAATGATGACAACGACCGCGCTACAAATTATATACGAATTGTAAACAAAGTGCTTTGTTCTTAGTATTAATAAATAATATGGGGTTGCATTTAAAATACTATCTGTGTTTTATTTAAAAAATACATATCAAAAAAATATGGGGACATATGAAGAAATGGAAAAGTGGGCAATAAATTTTAGTAATAAACCAGTTTTTAATAAACCATTTTTAGTTTCGAAATAAAGTACTTTGTTAATAAATTGTGTGATTGCTTTATAAAATACGTCCGTGTTTTATTTTTAATTTAATTAATAAAATAATAATGAAACTTGACATCTTGTATATAGTTGTCCACAAATGGTGATGCGCTTTGCAGAATGTTTTTACCTCAAATACAAAATCTCTCTCGTAGTAATTTTCAATAGACAAAAGGATTTGTACCTTACCATCTTACGTAAAATCAACAACTTTTGATTTAGAAGATATATGAAGACAGAAAGCACTTCTGATACTTGATGAGCTCTCTTCCAAATATAGTAATGTTGAAATGCTTGAATATGCAGCTGTAAATGACATTATTTTATTTTATTTGCTAATCTAGTACTCACAGTACCTTTTTAGATCGTTCAAAACAATTTATCTCTGAAAAGAAAAATGATGTATATACAGGGTGAGTCAGAAAGAATGGGAAATCCGAATACCGGAGACACTAGACACCAAAATTTAACCTAACATGTCTTATACAAATGTCGGTGGTTTTTAATACACAGGGTGTTGAAAGTTAAATTTTTATTTCGAAATTTCTTGATAATTTTGAAGGTTTTTGTACTATTAACATAAAATTTGGTAGTTAGATGTTTTCGAACATGAGAAATACGAATTTGATATTTGTTTTGTGATTACTTGTAGAGGGCGCTAGATACACATTACGTTTGAGATATCAAGTCATGACTATTTTGTCAGTTGAGGTATGGTGAATTAGAACCAGAAATCTGAAGGAGTTTTCAATTCTGCACAAAAAAGGTACTCTTGCTTACATTGTCTAAGTCTACTGGTTTCCAAGTAATCTGCTTTTAATTGTTTCAAAGTAATTTTAAGGTTAACATTTAAAATCAATAACACACAGTAACTATAGCAATTAGTAACGATAATAATCGATAACAATAACAATTAATTAATAACAATAGAATATTGTGACCATTTTCAAAAATCCAGTGGACTTAAATCTGGATTTCTCACTATTAAAAAACTCATTATGTCGTGGCATTTTCAAATTGGTAATAACTTTATTGTTGGTAAAAATGATTATTGCACACGGAAATTAGATCAATGTTGACAATTAACAGGCAATTGTCGAAACATAAGCGGAAAAATAACCCAACTTTGCTTATGTTAAAAAATAAATATTTTAGAAGAAAAAATACATTTAAACATTTAAAAGTAAATAATTCGAAAACCGATAGACTTAGACAATTTCAATAAGAGTACCTTTTTTATGTAAAATTGAATGCTCTTTGTGATTTGCAGCTCTTATTGGTCGTAGCTGTCGAGCCAAAAAACTTATGATTTGATTTATCAAACGAGCAGCGTGTATCTAGCGCCCTCTACGAGCAATAACAAAACAAGTTTCAAATTAGTATTTCTCATGCTCGAAAACATAAAACTACCAAATTTTATGTTAATAGCACAAAAACCTTCAAAATTATCAAGAAATTTCGAAATAAGAATTTAACTTTCAACACCCTATGTCTCGAAAACCACTGACATTTGTATAAGAGATGTTACATTAAATCATCATATTTTGGTGTCTAGTATCTCCGGTATTCGGATTTCCCATTCTTTCTGACTCACCCTGTATAAAAAGGAGTTTTAGGAATTTCAAGCTACATCAAAGTCTTGTCATAAGCAAAAAGACTATGAAATTCCACCCCTTTGTGGATAACCTCTAAGATTCTCTAACAATAAGTAAGGTGATTGTTTGAGATAGGTTGAGTAACTAAATGTTAATCTATGATCTTAATTTATATATCTCTAATCATTCACCAGATTGGAGGCAATCGATATTTATATCGTTACTCTATACAAAAATGTAAAAATTACTCAATCATAACACTCATCTGTCATGCTAGGAAAGTCCTGTTGACAATCATCGATCAAAAGCTAAAGTATTATCTAGAACACTAAATCCTTCCAGAACAAGCAGGCTTTGTTACAGGAACCAGATAACCACACAACTGATAGAAAAATCACGATAATTTAACTCGTCAATTTAATATTTAGTAAATTTGATTTCAGACTTGTACAAAGTGAAAGACGAAACAATTTAATTAGAAAACACTACTTTTGGACTCTTTAACGTCCAAAAAAGCGTATAATAAGATAGTATAGTCCCCCAGCTTGTTCCAGGCATATGGTGAATACAAAATACAAGATGATATTGAGTACCACCATGGAGGCAAAAAAGTAAACAACTGCTGCTATACTGGCGATACAAGTATACTAGCCAAGGTTGATATAGAGTTGGCAGAAGTACTCCAACTAATTACTAACGAAAGCCGCGCATTGAGGCTGGATATAAATCTCGTTAAAACTAAACTAATGATAGTGGACGGAAGCAATATTCTCCAAATATCTCTGATCTTTAATTTCCAATAAAGGTACTTATGAGCCAGAAATAAGGCAACGCATAACACAACTAACAGACAAACAAACAACAAGTAAAGGCCCGTACAGACGCATTTAGTAATTTAGTCGAGTAGCGAGTAACTTAGTAAGTCGCTACGTGCGGACAGTACAATTTAGTCGAGTACTTTACTAAAACGATTTAGTCGAGTAGATCCATTTGATTCTATTTTTTCGGTCGAGTAGCGTACCCCCACTACTCACAACTGCCTAATAGTACTCACTAAACACCTGCGAACGCATAAATTTAATTTAGTGAATTAGCAATTGTATTGCGAGCGATGACGTCGTCTGTTCATCTTGAGTACCACTGAAGTGTCTTGAGCGTATTAAATGTGGACAGTTGCCATCTACTAAACGTTCCAGTGGTAAGTGGCTACTCGCTACTAGACTAAATTACTAAACGTGACTGTACGGGCCTTAAGAGGAAGTGCGACTAATGAAAGCTCTGGTTTTCCCGATATTTCTATAGCAGCAGACTCATGGACCAACAGAACTTCAAACTAACACAGAAGTGACTCATTTGATATGTAGTGCTGGAGACGGATCCTACCCACACGGAGCTACTGCTACTATTTCGGGCATGTAGTAATATGAGACGAAACAATCCAGGAAAATTAGTGACACAGGACAAGGTCCACGATAAACGCCCCAGTGGCAGAGCACCTTCTAGATAGCAAGACCAAATTAAGACCATCACCGAGACGCCTCCACAATAAACATTGAGAGAAGGTGAATATTGTTTCAGGTGGAAAGAAATAACAACTCAATAGACAAACAAAATAATTAACATATTATTTTACATAATAATAACAAACATCCCATTTCAGGTCGAAATAAGGCATATTCATTACAATTTCGTCTTCATTATCGTTAAATGTAAAATGGAACATTTTGCTATTTAAGTTATTTAGATGTTTAACTAAACCTATAGTCACGTGTAATCTATCATTACACTCAAAATAACGCAAAATTAATTTGTTTGCTAATTAACCAAGCAACAACGTTATTATCCATGTTATTACAAATTGAGTCCTTTGCATACTTTCAAAATCATTATCTACGTAAAGAAATCTATAAAAGTCAAAATGAAACTGCTTCTAATCAGTAAAATTGAGTTACTTTAACATAAGTCGATTTCGCAACAAAAATATCGAAAATGAAGATAAGTATAATTATTTTTTTGGTTTTTGCAATTTTTGCAGCAATTATTGGTGGTAAGTTATTTTGATCTAAGGTTAATAAAAATACTAAAATTTATTTTATTTATGCTAAATAAGCAACTTCAAACCATGGCAAAGAAGGTAAGTAATATTACAATTGCTGAGGTTAATATTTCTAAAAAAAATATTGTATTAATATTGTAGAAAAGAGACTATTCGGAGGTTTAAACAAGAAAATCTGTGACAAAGTATGTTCTGTGATAACATCTGTATTTCCCATGGGAAGAAGAAAGTGATCCAGCCCAGAAACGTAGAATACACACCATTAATTAAAATTATGGTTGTATTCAGTTTAGTGAAAAGTGTAGCGCATCTAGTTTTATTTTGTTAATCAATATTGCGGCTTATATTTGTATTCTTTGTTTTAATTGTTTTGAAAGCAATATCTGTACTTTACTTTTTTAATAAATGAGGACCACAAATCAGAATTATAAAAGTCTTATAATTTATTTTTGTATTATTTTAACTCGCGACGTACATTTTTACTATTTGAATTCCAAGGTTTGTTACAATAAACCTGTGATGAAGTACTTCGAAATTTCGAGGTTGAGGGGTAAATAGAACAATGTTAAAATAAAATCATCGAAAAAGCATAGTGTCCTCAAATCAGGCAAACACTCCATAGATTCAGTCTATAGAAGGATATTCCCTTCTCCTATTGATTTTCAGAGCGAATTGATAGTATTTTCTAACATATTCAAATATCCTTCTTCATATAGATTTCCATTAATAAACAGTGGACCTATTACTTGGTCCCCAAATTATTAGATATTAATAGATACATTACTTTTTAGGATACTAGGTTTGTCCATCTTCACTCATATGAGGGTTTCGTTACTTCAATATCTGCTGGTATGTTTATTTACAAATCCATGTAAATGAAATGAACATTTATGACTAAAGCGGATAATTTTTACAAATGCATTATTATTAATTATAGGCGTAATTTCTACGCAAAATTATGTATTTTCAATATATAAGGATCGAATGTATAAAGTTTTATAATTTTATCAACAGAACCCAAGAAAATTCGAGTTACACCAGAAATCTCACGTAATGAAGTATTGGGATTTATGCCGAAAGAACCTAACACTTTCACTTGAGTGACTTCATTGAACGGATCTAATCTGAGTAAATTTGCTAATAGGATTTTGGAGATATCTGTTAGATGTGTTCTTATCTTAGCCTTTCGTTAAATATTGCGGTATTTCGAGCACATTCATTTTGGACACCATACATTAATTTACAATTTCAAAATCTTTCTGCAAGTACAAAGTTTTATTTAAGTGTTGTTTGTTAGATGGTCAGCCAGAAAGTTTTTCTTCGATGTGGGTTTTTTCCATTGCCCACTACGCTCATCTATTATCTCTACCGGTTGTGACAACAGCACGCCATTTCAGCGAGATCACCCGGTATACAGTGAAGTCGGTTTCACACGCTCTAATTTGTAAGCAACAAAACTACAGAAAATTCGACGATTATATTGATTCCAAAGGTCGATCAATTTGAAACACAGCAATAAATACAATTGAAAAATTAGCGTAAATAAATTGTTTTGCTCCGATTTTGTAAAGGCTGTCTTACCCTCATATTAAAAATTATATCCCTGTGTTAACGACGGCAGCCCCAAAGATCTGATAGTTGCTAAATATACTAAAACATCCCACCTGTCAAATAGTGTGGCCAGATTTACTTGCTCTGACTTCCCAAGAGCTCTTTTAGTCACCCCCAATTAAAAAAATTCGCCCTGTGTTAACGACGGCAGTCCTCAAAAATCTGATAGTTACTAAATATACTAAAACACCGCCCCTGTCGAATAGCGTGGCCAGATTTACTTGTTCTGACGTCCTAAGGGCTCTTTTATTCACCCCCATATTAAAAAATTTCGCCGTGTTAACGACGACAGTCCCCAAAGATCTGATAGTTGCTAAATATAACGAAACATCCCACCTGTCGAATAGCGTGGCCAGATTTACTTGCTCTGACTTCCTAACGGCTCTTTTAGTCACCACCACATTAAAAAAATTCGTCCTGTGTTAAGGAAGGCAGTCCCCAAAGATCTGATAGTTGCTAAATATACCGAAACATCCCACCTGTCGAATAGCGTGGTCAGATTTACTTGCTCTGACTTCCTGAAGGCTCTTTTATTCACTCCCATATTAAAAAATTTCGCCGTGTTAACGACGGCAGTCCCCAAAGATCTGATAATTGCTAAATATACTAAAACATCCCACTTGTCGAATAGTGTGGCCAGATTGACTTGCTCTGACTTCCAAAGGGCTCTTTTATTCACCCCCATATCGATCAACATCGTTTTGATCTTGTCCCTCTTCTGATATTTTGATCACGTAACGTTACTCCTATAATCGATCTCAATGCTCTCATTTCAGGGGGTTCATGTAGGAGAGTCAGTTCGTGCGTAAAAACAACAGAATTGAAAGAAATCGTTAATGTATTGTATTCCACAATGCGTTTTAACTCAGGTAGTGATAAATGTCTTATAATAAGGAAAGGTAGATAATCTAGATACTAGAATATCATCTCTGTATTCAGATACATTATTACTGAACATGTGTCATTTCCCGACTGCTTCTAGTCATCGCTATAACTGTAATAGATCAGTGTCTATTTGTCGTGGATTGGCATGTTGTGTAAAAAATTGGAAATGTTAGAGAGATGGTGGACTATTTATAGCAGAAATTAGTACTTTGTACTAATTTCCAATGATCCAACCTAACCAAATCATATCCATCGATTTAACGAACCAGTGTAGTTAGCTATTGAAAAATTCGAACCCCAAAGCATGCTACAAAAACCAAAACAAAACTAAAATAATTTTTGCTTAACTTGTTCTTGCAATGTCTGTAGAGGTTTAGATATTACTGCTAATTTAAATTNTTTGTCCCTCTTCTGATATTTTGATCACGTAACGTTACTCCTATAATCGATCTCAATGCTCTCATTTCAGGGGGTTCATGTAGGAGAGTCAGTTCTTGCATAAAAAGTTATCCATTAACAACCCAACCCACTTCTCAAACAGTTGAAAATCATTTGTGTATAGGATTGAAACCTCCACCCGCAAAATAACACAACCCACTTATTCTACAGAATTGAAAAAAATCGTTAAGGTATAGTATTACACAATGCGTTTTAACTCAGGTAGTGATAAGTGTCTTGTAGTAAGGAAAGGTAGATAATCTAGATACTAGAATATCATCTCTGTATTCAGATACATTATTACTGAACATGTGTCATTTCCCGACTGCTTCTAGTCATCGCTATAACTGTAATAGATCAGTGTCTATTTGTCGTGGATTGGCATGTTGTGTAAAAAATTGGAAATGTTAGAGAGATGGTGGACTATTTATAGCAGAAATTAGTACTTTGTACTTTGTACTAATTTCCAATGATCCAACCTAACCAAATCATATCCATCGATTTAACGAACCAGTGTAGTTAGGTATAATTTCGTTAATGATTGTTTATAGAATGCTATTGAAAAATTCGAACCCCAAAGCATGCTACAAAAACCAAAACAAAACTAAAATAATTTTTGCTTAACTTGTTCTTGCAATGTCTGTAGAGGTTTAGATATTACTGCTAATTTAAATTGAGTTCTTGCCTTTATATTTACTAATTCAGAACATCAGCTCTGGGACGAGAGGAATTTGCATCTCTTCATGAATAAATATGTGTATCACCAGTATTATTTATTACATAACTCAAAAAACAACCAATTTCAAGTCGAAATGAGGCATATTCATTACAATTTCGCCTTTATTGTCGTTAAATGTAAAATGAAACATTTTGTTTGTTAAGTTATTTGAAATTTAACCAAAAACATAATGAGCCACGTGTAATCAATAATTCCACTCAAAATAACACAAAATGAATTTGTTTACTAATTACCCAATCAACAACGTTATTATTCATGTTATTACAAATTAATTGAGTCCTTTGCATACTTTCAAAATCATTAACTATGTAAAGAAACCTATAAAAGTAAAACTGAAACAGCTTCTAATCATTGAAATTCAGTTACTTCGTCGATATCGCAACAAAAGTACCAAAAATGAAGTTAAGTATAACTATTTTTTTGGTTCTTGCAATTTTTGCAGCAATTATTGGTGGTAAGTTAAGTTCATCTAAACTTAATAAAAACACTGAACTTTATTTTATTTGTGCTAAATAAGCAAAACACCAAGCTCCAAAGCACGGCAAAGAAGGTAAGTAATATTACAATTGCTGAAGTTAATAGAAAAAATATTGTATTAATATTGTAGAAAAGAGACTATTGGGTATAGCGGAGAATATAAGGGGGAAATTCTGCGACATAGTATGTTCTGGGGGAGGAAAAAGGAAGTGATCCAACCCAGAAACGTAGAATACACCATGGTTGTATTCAGTTTATTGAAAAGTGTAGCGCATGTAGTTTTATTTTGTTAGTCAACATTGCGGCTTATATTTGTATTCTTTGTTTTAATTGTTTTGAAAGCAATATCTGTACGTTACTTTTTCAATAAATGAGGACCATAAATCAGAATTATAAAAGTCGTATTTATTCTGCAATGACATAAAATTTAAATCCTTCAAAATTATTATCATTATTCTAACCCACGACGTACATTTTTACTATTTGAATTCTAAAGTCAGAAATCAGCGATTTGATAGTATTTTCGAACATATTCTCATATCCTTTGTCATAAAGATTTCCATTAATAAACAATAAACCAATTACTTGGTCCCAAAATTATTAGATATTAATAGATACATTATTTTTTTATCATACTGGATGTGTCCTTCTACAGCCATAATATGAGGGTTTCATTACTTCAATTTCTGCTGGTATGTTTATTTACAAATCCATGTAAATCAAATGAACATTTATCACTAAAGCGGATAATTTTTACAAATGCATTATTATATTATTTCTTCGAAAAATTTTGCATTTTCAACTGATAAGGATCGAATGTATAAAGCTTTATAATTTTATGAACAGAACCCAAGGAAATTTGAGTTGATCCAGAAATCTCACATAATGAAGTATTAGGATTTATGCCCAAAGAACCCAACACTTCAACTTAAGCGGCTTAAATGAGCGGATCTAATCTGAATAAATTTGTTAATACAATTTTTGAGATATCTGTTAGATGTGTTCTTATCTGGATGCCTATCGTTAAATATTGCGGTATTTCGAGCACATTCGTTTTAGGCTCCAGATATATTAATACAATTTCAAAATCTTTCTGCAAGTACTGTAAACCATTATTGTTATTTCATTAAGACAAAGTCTTTTATCCAACTTTCATACCATCCGTTAGATGATCAGCCAGAAAGTTTCTTTGATGTGAGCTTTTTTCCTTTGCCCACTACGCTCATCTATTGTCCTCCGTTCTATCGACATCCAGCATCGTCTTGATCTTGTCACTCTGATGATATTTTGATCACGTAACATTACTTATACATACAATCGATCTCAATGTTCTCATTTCTACCCTTCTAAGCATACTTTTGTTATACCATTATTTTCTGTTGAACATATTGAATACAGAACGATTCCATTTAAGAATTTTGAGACAGTATTTTCCCAAGGTCAGGAGGTTAATGTAGGATTGAAAAGATAGTCAGTCCTTGCATAAAATGTTATCCATAAACATCAACCCATTCCTCAAACAGTTGAAAATCATTTATGTATAGGATTGACAACTCCATCNTTCAGTATCAACACTCACTTGTTTTTTAAAATTTGAAAATATGTTCAAAATCAGTCTTTAATCAAGCAGGCCTGAACCCCAAAAGATGACAGTTAATATCGAAAAAAATTTACATTTTATAAGAGTCGTTTCACCTATCCGGGGACACACTGTATATTCTTGAGATGCGGATGTCCAACTTTCATGCCATCCGTTAGATGATCAACCAGAAAGTTTCTTCGATGTGAGCTTTTTTCCTTTGCCCACTACGCTCATCTATTGTCCTCCGTTCTATCGACATCCAACATCGTCTTGATCTTGTCACTCTAATGATATTTTGATCCCGTAACATTACTTATACATACAATCGATCTCAATGTTCTCATTTCTACCCTTCTAACCATACTTTTGTTATACCATTATTTTCTGTTGAACATATTGAATACAGAACGATTCCATTTAAGAATTTTGAGACAGTATTTTCCCAAGGTCAGGAGGTTAATGTAGGATTGAAAAGATAGTCAGTCCTTGCATAAAATGTTATCCATAAACATCAACCCATTCCTCAAACAGTTGAAAATCATTTATGTATAGGATTGAAAACTCCCCCCGCAAAGTAACACAACCCATTTATTCTCCAGCATTGAAACAAATCGTTAATGTATTGAATTGCACAATGCGTTTTAACTCAGGTAGTGATAAGTGTCTTTTAGTAAGGAAAGGTAGATAATCTAGAATATCATCTTTGTATTCAGAGACATTATTACTGAACATGTGTTATTTCCTAACTGCTTCTAGTCGTCGTTATAACTGTAACAGACCAGTGTCTATTTGTCGTAAATTGGCATGTTGTACAAAAAATTGGGAATATTAGAGATGGTGCAGTATTTAAAATATAAGTCAGTGCCCTGTACTCCACAGAGTCCCAATGATACAACCCAACCAAATCATATCCATCGGATATTAACGAACCAATGTAGTTAGGTATAATTTCGGTAATGATTGTTAGAATGCTGTTGAAAAAATTCGAACCTCAAAACATGCTAATTGAATCTCAAAGCAACAATTGTCTTTATTATTCAATTATACCTCTAAATCATGGATTTTTTTAAGATTAAGAAAGAAAAAAATATTGTAATGGTGGTTATAGAGTATGGAATTTCCGAACAAATGAAATAATTAATAGAGATGTGATATTTGATGAAAACTTAGTAGATTTTAAGAAGATTCGTAATAATGAACAAATTGTAGAATTAGATGTTACAAGGGAAAAAGTAGATACAATAAAAAGGGAAAGTGAAGAAAACCTGACTGAATATGAAGATAATGAAACTACGACAGACGACAGAGAAGAAGATATAGAAGAGAAGGTTACAGAAAATAAACGCACTAAATCTGGTCGACAAGTTAAAATACCTAAACATTTTTCAAATTACGAATTATACGATATTTATTGTTTAAATGTAAACACTGAAAATCCTGAAACATTTCAAGAAGCTGTAAAAGAACAAAAATGGAAAGAAGCAATAGAAAAGGAATTAAATTCACTAAAAAACTAAAAGCATGGGAAGAAAACAACCTACCTGAAAGAAAGAAAGCTATAGAAACAAAATGGATATTCAAGACAAAAGAAGATGGCACAAATAAAGCAAGATTAGTTGCTAGAGGATTACAACAAAAAGAAGAAGATATTTATAAATCTATATATGCCCCAGTGGCAAGAACAAGTACAATAAGAGTAATGTTGCCTCATGTAATAAGAAAAGGATGGAATATCAGACAATTGGATATACCCATAGCTTTCCTGAACGGAATACTCGAAAGTGAGGTTTATATATACAAACCAGAAGGTTATGAATCAACGTCAAAGTACCTGAAACTGAATCGAGCGTTATATGGACTGAGGGAATCTCCAAAAGTATGGATACAAAATTTGACGAAGTTGTTTTAAAGTACAAGTTGAAACGATCACTTTATGATTGTTGTTTATATTTTGATAAGAAAATATAGCTCTTAGTTTATGTTGATGATTTATTGATAATTGGAGAAGATCTAAATATAGAAGAAATGCTAAATAAATTAAAATATGCATATAGATAAAAGTTTAAATATAAATCAAACAAATATGGTAGATAAAATTCTCAAAACATTTAGCTATTATGTTCTCAGTATCTTTTCTTAGCAAATATTTAAACAGGGCAACGAACCAAACATGGAAAGCAGCGAAGAGAATTCTTCGATATTTAAAAGGAACGAAGAATTTAGGCCTTAATTATAAGTTACATAAAACAAACAATAGCTTGATTGCTTACATTGATTGGGCATCTGATAAATCAGATAGAAAAAGTATCAGTGGCGGACTCTTATTTTATGGAAATAATTTAGTGCATTTGTTTTCAAGAAAACAGAAATGTGTAGCTTTATCAACTACCGAATCCGAATTCATGGCTGCTGCCGTAACAGCATAAGAAATAATTAATTTAAAAGGAATATTAGAGGATTTTGATGTATAAACAAATGGAATTATGTACTGCGACAACAAAAGCACAATTTTTATGGCAAATTCGTTTGAAAATTCGCAGAAGTCTAAACATATTGATATCAGAAATTATTTTCTTAAAGAATTAATAATTAATAAAACTATTAACATGCAATATGTACCTACTGCTGAAAATGTCGCAGACATCCTAACAAAACCTCTACCAAGAAATTTATTTACTAAACATAGAACCAAAATGTTTTAATATTAACGATTACAATCATTACTGATAATTCATACGGTTGTAATCGAGGGAGGATGTTGAATTTACTTTATCAAGATAGTTGATGTTAATAATATAATGTTAATTACAGTTGTTATGTACAATATTATAAAAACAAAATATATTTCAATAAAATAATATAACATAAAAAGATCTTGAGCATCTTGATCTCTCTGAGCATAAATAATTACAACACCCCACAGCCATAATGCGCTCTCCGATGTGTTCTTTCAGGATTTCAAACACTCTATCGGGTCGTGCTCGATCCTACATGTATCACATCTTTTCAAGATCTATTTATCAACAGAATTTCTTTTCTAAAATTTTTACATCTCATCCCTTCAAAAAATATCGCACAGATTACGTATTCCGCGACATTACATTGGACAGAAATAATCTTTTCAACACAAATAAAATAATTAATATATTATTTTACATAGTAATAACAAACCTTCAAGTTCAAGTCGAAATGAGGCATTCATTACAATTTCGTCTTCATTATCGTTAAATATAAAATGAACCATTTCGTTTTTTAAGTTATTTGGATATTTACTAAACCTAAATAGCCACGTGTAATCAATAATTCCACAAAATAAATTTGTTTACTAATTACCCAATCAACAACGTTATTATTCATGTTTTTTGCAAATTAATTGAGTCTTCTGCATACTTTCAAAATCATTAACTGCGTAAAGAAACCTATAAAAGTCAAAGTGAAACAATTTCTATTCATTAATATTGAGTTTCTTTAACATAAGTCTATATCGCAACAAAAATGAAGTTAAGTATAACTTTTTTTTTGATTTTTGCAATTTTTGCAGCAATCATTGGTGGTAAGTTAATTTCATCTAAGGTTAATAAAAGTACTGAACTTTATTTTATTTATGCTAAATAAGCAACTTCAAAGCACGGCAAAGAAGGTAAGTAATATTACAATTGCTGAGGTAAATAGTTTTAAAAAAATATTGTATTAATATTGTAGAAAAGAGACTATTGGGTATAGCGGAGAATATAAGGGGGAAATTCTGCGAAATAGTATGTTCTGGGGGAGGAAAAAAGAAGTGATCCAGCCCAGAAACGTAGAATACACCATGGTTGTATTCAGTTTATTGAAAAGTGTAGCGCATGTAGTTTTANACAACACTCGCTCGCTTCGCTCGCTCGTGTTGCAACTTCTTCTTCGTGGGTAACAGCCGCCATTATACGCTTGTTGAATAATATACTATTATTACACAATAATGACACAAACATTTTGTATATTCAAAATTCGTTCGAATCTAAGACGCGCCCGATTGTAAGACGCACCTCATTTCCATGAACGATTATACAGTATGTCCTCGGATTGAGTTACAAAGAGGAAAAAAATTTTTGTTACTGAGTTTTCAAACTTATCTCAGCATAAATAATGCGTCGGATATGTTCAAACTACTAAATCGCATGAATTTTATACTCTAACTATAAAAGTTAACTAATTATTCCAATTTTTATGTAAAAATTGGACATTTTTCTAAATTGAAAATTGAAATTGAACTTCAATTTATGATATGTAACCATAGAAACCATAAAACTTACAGCTTATGTTGGTGAGATTAAGGGCCGGTTTATCAATATCTAGTTAAGACGATTTATCTGTCAATTAAAATTGTAGCTGATAGATAACGTCGAGGAGTCGTTTATCCACCCGTAGTTTAGGGTAATCTTATAGATAAATATGACATTTGGATACCCACCAGATTGAAGTACTGGTTTAGGGTTTACCTATTAGATATTATCAAAAAAATTTGAGCACAAGTTTGGTTGCTTGGTGAAAGGAAATGACAATAAAATATAACGTCAAAAATAAATTAAGCTTATCTTATAATTGTGGTGATGGATAAGCAAGAGAAAGAAATGATCATCAAATTTTAGTACAGCAGAAAAGAACTTGCTGATGGATTTGGCAAACGAATATAAAAATGTTATAGAAAATAAATAATAATCTAGTAATTAAAAAAAAAATAATATAATCTATAATCTAATACAGTATAATCTCGTCTCAATTTTAACCAAGATTGACAAAACTGTGTCCTTTTTTAACCAAAATCTAACAAAAAAAACGTGGTCGTCCAACTCCTCAAGGTGGTTTTGACATTTGTCTTTCTTTTATAATATATGGTCGTCGTTTATAATTTAAGAGTTGGACAATATCCTCATCTTTATCGCTATCTAATAAATATTCATGTAGGAATTCCATTATAAAAGTGGTTTTCGAAAACAAAGCACAATACCGAAAGCACACGGGAATGATAACCTCCAAAATACGATCAGCTGTTTATATCAACTTCACAAACTAAAGTCAATTATTCAAATTTCACCAATTACGTTTCATTTCCGTTTCTAATGTTAACACTCAGGGGTACCATCTATGTTCTATCTCGTAGGTTGCTGCCTGTCGGGTAGAAAGTTGCTGGATAAACGGTTCACTGAGGTTATCGGTTAGACAAGTTTATCCATGAGTTGCATATCTAACAGATTTAACTTGATATTGATAAACCGGCCCTTTTAGTGGTTTGAACATATCCGACGCATTATTGATGCGGAGATAAGTTTGAAAAATCAGTAATAAATTTTTTTTTCCTCTTTGTAACTCGATCCGGGGACATACTGTATAGCAAAAATAGTGCGTCTTAGATTCGAACGAATACGGTATATTAAATTATTATCATTATTCTAACCCACGACGTACATTTTTACTATTTGAATTCTAAAGTATGTTACAATAATCCTATGATGAAGTACTAAACCATCAAAAAAACATAGTGGCCTCAAATCACGCAAACACTCCATCGGTTCAAGCTATAGAAGAATATTTCCTTCTACTGATTTTCAGAACTTCAGAAATTAGCGAATTGATAGTATTTTCTAACATATTCAAATATCCTTCGTCATGTAGATTTCCATTAATAAATCCCCAAATTATTATATATTAATAGATACATTACTTTATTAGGATACTAGGTGTGTCCTTCTACAGTCATATGAGGTATTCCTTGCTTCAATATACCTATGCTGGTATGTTTATTTAAAAATCCATGTAAATCAAATGTACATTTATCAATAAAGCGGATAATTTTTACAAATGCATTAATATTAATTATAGAGGTCATTTCTTCGTAAAATTGTGCATTGTCAAACTCATAAGGATCAAATGTCTAAATTATTACAATTTTAGGAACAAAATCGAAGGAAATTCCAGTTACACCAGCTTCATTCAGCGGATCTAATCTGAATAAATTTGTTAATAGGATTTTGGAGATNTCTTCAAATGTGTGTCGAATTGGGAAGGAATTTGTTTGAATGAGGATTTGTTCACTTACAAATAAATAATATTTATTACTTACATAGTGTGTTATTACATAAATTTACATTTAAAATATTTTATTCAATTAGCCATATTTTAATTTTATTTGTCCGTATATTTTTCACTAATATAAGTTGTAACTTTTATTTTATTGGTTTCTATGGTTACATATCGTAAATTGAACTTGAAAAATTTTTAATTTAGGAAAAGTATAATTTTTATACAAAAATGGGAATAATTAGTTAACTTCTATAGTTAGAATAATAAAGTTCGTGCGATTTAGTGGTTTGAACATATCCGACGCATTATTTATGCTGAGATAAGTTTGAAAAATCAGTAATAATTTTTTTTTCCTCTTTGTAACTCGATCCGGGGACATACTGTATAGCAAAAATAGTGCGACTTAGGTTCGAACGAATACGGTATATTAAATTATTATCATTATTCTAACCCACGACGTACATTTTTACTATTTGAATTTTAAAGTATGTTACAATAATCCTATGATGAAGTACTAAACCATCAAAAAAACATAGTGGCCTCAAATCAGGCAAACACTCCATCGGTTCAAGCTATAGAAGAATATTTCCTTCTACTGATTTTCAGATCTTCAGAAATTAGCAAATTGATAGTATTTTCTAACATATTCAAATATCCTTCGTCATATAGATTTCCATTACAATAATAAATCCCCAAATTATTATATATTAATAGATACATTACTTTATTAGGATACTAGGTGTGTCCTTCTACAGTCATATGAGGTATTCCTTGCTTCAATATACCTATGCTGGTATGTTTATTTCAAAATCCATGTAAATCAAATGTACATTTATCAATAAAGCGGATAATTTTTACAAATGCATTAATATTAATTATAGAGGTCATTTCTTCGTAAAATTGTGCATTGTCAAACTCATAAGGATCAAATGTATAAATTATTACAATTTTAGGAACAAAATCGAAGGAAATTCCAGTTACACCAGCTTCATTCAGCGGATCTAATCTGAATAAATTTGTTAATAGGATTTTGGAGATACCACATTCGTTTTAGGCTCCATATATTAATACAATTTCAATATCTTTCTGCAAGTACAAAGTCATATTTAAGTGTTGTTTGTTATAAACTATTAAAAGTCTTAAGATGCAGATGTCCAACTTTCATGCCCATCCGCTAGATTGGTTAGATGGTCAGCCACGAAGTTTTTTCGGTGTGGGTTGTTTTTCCATTGCTCACTACGCTCATCTATTATCGTCCATTCTATCGACATGGTCTTTCCAGCCCTGTCTTGATCTTGTCACTCTAATGATATTTTGATCACGTTACGTTACTCCTATAATCGAGCTCAATGTTCTCATTTCTACCCTTCTAAGCATACTTATGTTATACGATCATTTTCTGTTGAACATGTTGAATACAGAACGCTACCGCTTTCCATTTAAGAATTTTAAGATAGTATTTTCCCAAAATCAGGGGGATAATGTAGGATAGCCGGTTCTTGCATAAAATGTTATCCATAAACAACCCAACCTATTCCTCAAACAGTTGAAAATCGTTTATGTATAGGATTGAAAAATCCACCAGCAAAGTAACACAACCCATTTAAACTCCAGCATTGAAAGAAATCGTGAATGTGTTGAATTCCCCAATGCGTTTTAACTCAGGTAGTGATAAGTTTCTTTTAGTAAGGAAAGATAGATAATCTAGAAGATCATCTCTGTATTTAGAGACATTAATATTGAACATGTGTCATTCCCCGACTGCCTCTAGTCATCGCTATAACTGTAACAGACCAGTGTCTATTTGACGTGGATTGGCATGTTGTGCAAAAAATTGGAAATGTTAAAGAGATGGTGGAGTATTTAAAGCAGAAAACAGAGCTTTGTACTAAAAGCAGTCCCAATAATCCAACCTAATCAAATCATATCCATCGGGACGAGAGGGATTTGCATCTCCTCATTAATAAACATATCACCAGTATTGTCTATTACATTACCCAAAGAGGTTGGTGATTTCTCGAGTTATTTTCCAGTAGCTCCTACTCGTCGTTATAATTTCCATAAAGCTATCTTACCAACATTCTACCCATGTGTGTCATGGGGGAAATCGGGTTAAGAAATTGTAGAGAATTTAATGCAGAAATCGATGTTTTGAGCTCCACACAGACATAATGATTATCCCAAATTGGTTTCAATGAAATACGATTATTCAGCTATATGAAATAAAAGATCAAGTTTTCAAGAACTACTGACTTGAATAATATTATTCAAGTACAGTGCAAGTGAAGAGCAAAATTCTGCAAAACCCGGTGAAGTATGAAGATATCGTCATAATCTTTGTCTTTAATATTGCCCCACCAAAATAAATGTGATGATATGCTGGCCAACTTATTTCCATTCCAGTGGTCTCTGGGTACCCCGCAGCCATAATGCGCTCTCCGAAGTGCTCCTTCAGGATTTCAATTGAATTTTTTTTCTACAATATTCTTTGGGACAAAAATAATCTTCATTTTCAACACAAGCTAAATAATTAATATGTTATTTTACATAATAATAACGAACCTCCAATTTCAAGTCGAAATGAGACATTCATTACAATTTCGTCTTCATTATCGTTAAATGTAAAATAAGTCATTTTGTTTTTCAAGTTATTTGGATATTTAACTAAACCCAAATAGCCACGTGTAATCTATAATTTCGCTTAAAATAACTCAAAATTAATTTGTTTACTAATTATCCAATAACTTTATTATCTATGTTATTACAAATTAATTGAGTCCTTTGCATACTTTCAAAATCATTAACTACGTAAAGATACCTATAAAAGTCAAACTGAAACAGCTTCTAATCATTGTAACTCAGTTACTTTAACATAAGTCGATATCGCAAAAAAAGTATCAAAAATGAAGTTAAGTATAACTATTTTTTTGGTTTTTGCAATTTTTGCAGCAATCATTGGTGGTAAGTAAATTTCATCTAAACTTAATAAAAACACTGAACTTTATTTTATTTGCGCTAAATAAGCAACTCCAAAGCACGGCAAAGAAGGTAAGTAATATTACAATTGCTGAAGTTAATAGAAAAAATATTGTATTAATATTGTAGAAAAGAGACTACTCGGTATAGCGGAGGGTATAAAGGAGAAATTGTGCAATATAGTATGTTCTGATGTGATGGCATCTGAATCCCCATCTGAAGGGGGAGCAAGTGGTCCAAGCAAGAAACATAAAAAGCACCACTAATTAAAATCATGGTTGTATTCAGTTTATTGAAAAGTGTAGTGCATGAAGTTTTATTTTGGTAATCAATATTGCAGCTTATAGTTGTATTCTTTGTGTTAATTGTTTTGAATTCAATATCTGTACGTTTCTTTTTTAATAAATGAAGACCACAAATCAAAATTATAAAAGTCGTATAATTTATTCTCTCAATGACATAAAATTTAAATTCTTCAATATCCTGATCTTTGTTCGCAAAAGAATGACATAGCCATTATTCTAACCCATGACGTAAATTTTTATTGTTTGAATTCCAAGGTATGTTACAATAATCCTGTGATGAAGTACTTCGAAATTTCGACGTTGAGGAGTACATATAACAAACTTAAAATAACAACATCGAAAAAGCATAGTAGCCTCAAATCAGGCAATCACTCTATAGGATTGAAAACTCTAACCGCAAAATAACACAACCTATTTATACTGCAGCATTGTAAGAAATAGTTAATGTATTGAATTCGACAATGCGTTTTAACTCAAGCAGTGATAAGTGTCTTTTAGTAAGGAAAATCAAGAAGAACATCTCTGTATTCAGAGACATTATTGCTGAACATGTGTTATTCCCCGACTGCCTTTAGTCGTCGTTATAACTGTAACATACCAATGTTTATTTGTCGTGGATTGGCATGTTGTGCAAAAAATTGGGGGTGTTAGAGACCTGGTGGAGTATTTAAAGCAGAAATTAGTGGTTTGTACTCCACATAGTCCCAATGATCCAATCCAGCTATATGAAATAACAGATCAAGTTTTCAAAAGGTCTCCGAAGGGAACTTTCAGGATTTGAAAGTCTCTATTGTTCTGTTCGAGTCGTACTCGGTCTTGTATGTATCACATCTTATCGACATATTTTCGTCGCTTTTTTCAACAAGAACTTTTTTCTAAAATTTTGACATCTCATCCTATCAAAAAATATCGCACCGATTACATATTCCGCGACATGACATTGGGCCCCAAACAATCTCATTTGGGGTGAAGAAACTTTTCGTGATGGGGATTTTCATTCTCTCAAATGCAAGTCCATCAGTCAAATCCATCCAAATAAATGTTTAACTGCGCCACTGATTATTCACAACAAATTCTTGTTTAATAATTGTATCCGTAACGTTGTTGTAAAAACAGTAATGCTATTCAATGGGAATGGCGTTCATTGGCTGTAAGTCGTAAACAACAATTTACCAGAAAGTCTCTTCTTTGGTTTCGACTTATTGTGAAACTCGTCTAATCGATGTCCTTGGGGTATTTGGAATACAATTGGTGTTTTCTCGATATTTGCTGGAGTTTTAACACTTCTTCGTTAACCATATACAATAGCCTAGTTTTAATTGAATCGAGTTTTGTTTTATTAACGGTGCGTTCTATCATCAACTGTTCAATACTTGACTAATCTTAACGATGCAGAGTTTAAGTTATTACAACATGATTTAAGACTAACAGTAATTTAATTGATTGCAAAAAGTTATATAATAATATTAAGTCCAATTTCGTTACGTTGCATTTACAAATAACATTTTAACCCACTTAAAACTAAAAACAAAATTCTTTACTGTTTTCTTCAACAAAATCGTATTTACGCATTTTTCTTACTTAATTAAGAGGATTAATACACATAGTCTACACATATTTCCAATATCATTAGCGATGTAAAGAAGGTATAAAACCCAACTCAAAACTTTTCATATTCATATAGTTTTTTTACTTGTTACGTTGATACATTGAATTAAAATGAAATTAATTGTTACTCTTTTTGTGATTTTTGCCATGTTCACGGCAATAATTGTTGGTAAGTTGAATTTATCTTCTATGTTTCAAATTTACTATTTTTTTGTTAACACTTTTACTTTTTCTAAATTAGCAAATCCAATGGGTAGCGGTGGAGGTAAGTAATTACATATGGTTAGTGTATACAAAAATCTCAAAATTATTACAAAACAGATGCAGATCTTGGAGAATATCGTGTAAGACGTGATGTTGGTGAGAAGCTTGAAGCAGATTTGCTTGGCGCCCAAGATGGCTCTGCTGATATAAGTAATTCAAACATAAACGTGTAATTGAAATAGTTAAAATAAAAAAAATATTTTCAGAGGAGACTGAGAAACCAGTTGAAGAGGGCGCTGCGAAAAAGAGAACTCACTCTAAAAAGCATTCCAAAAAGCATGGAAAGGGAAAGATGTAGGAAACACTACTTAATCTGATTTGCTATATTGTATTATATTCAGTAATAAATGTTGTGAGGGGTTTTTTCTCTTAATAAATATTATCGGGTTGCATTTCAAAATTTTCTTTTATTTACAACAATACCAATAAATAGTTTTTGTTGATTTCATCGTTTTAAAGACGTTTAACGACAGAGAACAAATTTTTAGAGTTATTGCACATTGCAGTCCTCAATCGAAAGATTGTAATGATGGTTAAAAATCGAACAAATTCGATGTCCACATGGAAACAGAAAAAAAAATATTAAGAAGGCAGTCACCATTTCTTTATGTTACCATTTTATAAAACTAATAACTATCAACATGTATTTAGATTACTTTTAGATCAGATGAAATAATTTTTGGTATTTTTGAGAATCTTATCATTTTCTAACATGCCAGATTTTTTACCGGTCAACCTTAAAAATGTACATGGCTACCGGAAGAATGTGAACATTAATCAATACTATTTGCAATTATCTCAAGATTGGCTTATGATGAACGAAATAAGCGCATTGAATGTTGTGTTATAATTTATAACAATAAATCTGTTTAACAAACGCCCTCTATAATGTTAATGACCAATCTCATGATTGGTACAACATTGGTATTCGTATTTACATCATTATCTTTGATAGCAGTCGCGTGGTCTATTTTTAAAGGCTTTGCTTTTACCATCTGAATTGTGTTTTTTTCATTAGTAAGCACAAACTATAACAATTATTCATACCCTAATTGCCATCAGCCGACTTCTTACAAAACCTGTTATTGAAGATGTCCAGGAAAGAATGGGAAAAAATATTAACAAAGTTCAACTGCACAAACAGATTTATCTCTTGGATCCATATAAAATGAATGTAGCCTGATGAATAAAGTTGGATATGATGTGATGAAGACTTATTAGCATTATTTGTCTCTGACCTCCTTCAACTTTTGTCTCCAAGCATATCTTTGGAGTCCCTATCCGTCTCATCTTTCTCTCTGCGTTCCACTAGTTCTCGTTCCTTATATCCTCCTGTTAAGCAATTGAATGGGTATCCTTCACTGCTTCATCCTGACCACATGTTCTGCCCATTACAATCTTTGGATCTTGATGTATACCGACCGAATTTTCTCCTTGTAGTAGTTGTACAGTTCCTGATCCAACAACTCCTCGACGGTGAATTACAGCAAGGTAACTTCAAAAAATTGGAGCTCCATGTTGCTCATACCATAGTTATTCGTTATCAGGTTGGTTGTAGTCTTTGATCAAATACTTTTATCCATGGTTTCACGGAATCATTATTAATTAGTAAAATGTTATAGTTTAAGTTACAATATTAGAAGCGGAACATATAAACAGAAATTTCCATAAAACTTCTGAAAATGTACTCCACAAAGAAATTATTTGTTGTGCCTCTGGAAATAATTTGAATTTTGTCAAAATATAGGAAAATTAAGAAAGTCAATATTATAAATTTCAACCAAAATATTTTCCTTTAACCTTTTCTCTAATACTTTAACAACATTTAAATAACGTTGGAATTATTCTGTGTTTTCAACAATTGATCACACATTTACGCAAATATTGCTCTTTGAATAATCTACCTAATCGTAGGGTTTCACCACGTTGCAACCGTTTTTGGGACAATAACATTTTATATGATAGGGGTAGATCTTCAACAAAATATAATAAGTTTTATGCTTGTTCAGTGATGTATAATAGATGCCGATCACACCTTTCCATGAGCATTATTAGTTCAAAATCGTACCTTTTGAATGCGCATTAACCCTTTTAGGCACAATAACTGTTACATAGCATATTTGACACATTTTATTGAAATCCTTGCCATAAATAATATCTTATTTTCAATAAACCTCATTGTCATAATTTTTGAAGCTCAACTCTGCATATTTCATTGTTGCAGATTTTAAGAACAAAAACATAAAACATCGTATCTCGTAAACCAATTGAGATATAATGATAAACTAAACAACATTATAAAGCAAATGCATTGAAAATTTAATGTGTCAGAAATAATTTCTTAGTTTCCATAAATTTCCTTGTTATGATTTATTGAACTCAACTATGCATATTTGATTGTTATTAATGTTAACAGTAAAAGTTTAAAATATCGTATCTCATGAACCAGTTGAGATACAATGATGAACTAAAGAAAATTTTAAAGCATATTTAATAAAGATTGAAAGGATAACAAATAATTTTCTTATTTTCTATAAACCACCTCGCTGTGATTTTTTGACAGGATTTTTAATTTTTATTTCTTTGTTAAACTATATCTCAAGAATGAATTGAAACAAAATGATAAAACAAAAAACATTTTAAACCAAAGTTAATGAAGAATTAATGTGTCATAAATAATCTCTTATTTTCCATAAACTCCACGTAAAAAATAAAGAAACGTTTTAAAAAAAATTTTACGCAGATTTAATCAATTCCTAAAGTTCATAAAAAATGCTTATTGATATCGTCACTATTTTCATGTTGAGTTCAATTTTTTTACAAGTTACTTAACTAATAAAATCATAAACTTTTTAGTCAAAAATTATTCAAGGGAATTTTTGAATATGTATAAATCAAACAAGAAAATCATATTTCTAAAGTATATTTCACCTCATCGTTTCAAAAAATAATATGTTAAACAAAATAAATTTTCAAAAAAAAATATAAACAATCATAATCCATTAAAAGTAATTAAACAACATCATCATCAAATCAGATCATTATGTAAAACATCATATAGTTATGAGGACTTCTTACCACTTAAAAAGTTTTTTATTTTTTGCCGTTTTTCGGTACTTTCAGCAGCAGCCACACATAGTTTTTTCAAAACATCTGGAAACCAAAATGGAATACTGTATATCAAGAACATTAAATAAAACCCTTTTGATGTTTACCTGCTATGGCATCGATGTTCTCTGCACTACATTTAA